CTCAGTTAATGGTTGCTTGTAAAGTTCTCTGACAGTCTTGAGAAAGGGCCCCAGAGAAGGACATCTTACTGTTAAGCTTCTGTTTCAATTTAATTGTAGTACAATGATAAAAAAGACGGTTACTCACCGTTGTAACTGTTGTTCTTCGAGATGTGTTGCTCATATCCATTCCAAACCCGCCCCCCGTCCCCACTGTCGGAGTAGCCGGCAAGAAGGAACTGAGGGGGCGGCCGGGTCGGCTGGGGTATATATTCAGCGCCATGAAGGCGCCACTCTAGGGGGCTCCACAGCCGACCCGCCGGTGTTGCTAGGGTAGAAAATCTTCCGACGATCGTGCACGCGGCGCGCACACACCTAATGGAATGGATATGAGCAACACATCTCGAAGAACAACAGTTACAACGGTGAGTAACCGTCTTTTTTATCATTGTACTACAATTAAATTGAAACAGAAGCTTAACAATAATATGTCCTTCTCTGGGGCCCTTTCTCAAGACTGTCAGAGAACTTTACAAGCAACCATTAACTGAGCTTCACAACCCCTTGGGAGCTAGCAATAGTCACGGGGGACTGTGGTTATACCCATTTTACACCGGAGTTTACCAAAATCCAGAGAAGTTAAGTGGCTCAAGGCCACCCACCCAACTCAATGGCAGAGCCAGGAACAGCCCAGAAGTTTGACTCCCCTTCCTTTTCACTAACTACTAGACCTGCCCTCTAATGACAGTCCAGATATGTGCCAGGTAGCTTTATCCTACAGCTGTATTTTATGGGGTCTTCACTCATAGTAAATCTACTAACTGATCATTTACCTCCATCCATTGGTGCTGTCATATGAGAGTCCCTCTTAAGAACCCAAATCCAGATGTCATTCTTTCAACCACAGTGATTGATTTGAGAGTGTCTTTCTATTATCCCTCTAGGTCTCCACTCCAAATTTCCCTTTCTTCCTGTCCCAGAAACATTTTCTGGAATGTCTCATGGCTGGTAAATTAATTTTTGGCTCAACAAAATACCCATGCTGACTCATTTTGACTTCAGCCATTATGAGACATGCCTGAGATGCGCTGCAGAGAACCACTAGTTGAGAGATGCTGAGGAGAGGAGGGGAATATAAATGATATGAAAAAAGAGAGCTAAGAAAGCTAGAAGTTACCTGTAGTTAGAGTAGGACAATAAAATGAATTGCTTACCATCAAAAACAAATGAATGCGCACTGGCACCTGGAGAAGAAAATAGAAGTTGTTATTATTAATGATATTTTGACCTTCTCATGCTAGGATCTCAAAGTGCTTTCCAATCACTCACTAATTATGACCTCAGCATACGTGGAATCCCTGTAAATTTTATTATCCTCATGTCAACAGATCAGGAAACTGAGGAACAGAGAGGGTAAGTGACTCGCCCAAGGTCACAGTAACTCAGTGGCATACAAGCCAGGAGTCCTTGTAATGATAGCATCTGAAGTCAGAGGACATTCGACCCCTACCAAATGAAAGTGGTATAGACTTGTGCAACCCTGACCCATGTTATGTAATCGGGGCCAGGAAACAGAGACCAATCCCTTTCCAGCGCTTCTGAGAATTATACTTTTAGTCCAGGTGGGACATTCAGCCCCCAACTCTAGCCACAAGATACAACTGCCATGTTTCTTCTAATATTGTTGTGAGGAAAGAGAAAATGCGCGGTGGTTTGGGCTGCAGAAAGCAAGACGAATATAACTGCATTAAAGTTGGACCCATTACCCCACGCCACATGTGAATTAATGGTTTCAACGCTTAGCTTCGATCACTTACGGAGAAATCTTTTCTCCTGGATATCCAGGGGTGTACGACATATGCCACCACCGTGCCCTGAGGAATCTCCATAGTCTTCTTTTTAATGCTCTCGCCCTGCCCCTGTGGAGTCAAACACAGACACAGGACTCCGGTAAGATTCCTATAAGGCAGGTCAATAAATCCTCAAGTGGGTACTTGACAAGCCCTGATTCTTGGCAGAGTCTATGGGGGGAAGGGGGCAATTCTCCAGCTCCTTCATCCGAAACAGGCTTTTGCTTATTTATGGCTTTTAGACAAGGTTGCTTTGGAGCAAGTTTGTCAGGAGGAAGGAACAAGCTGCAGGAAATAGCCTCCTGTTACGTGCCTGATTTCAGCAGAGCAAAATGCCCTGTAAACCTAGTCTCTTCTCTTCCCCCATCTCGAAATCTTCGTGTGACTTTAAGTGTTGGCGGAAGTATGGCCAGTGGATAGCTCAAGAGCCTTGGACATGATGGGCACCAGCAGCATCCCGGGCTGTGCTTCCACACTGCCCCCTGCTGGTGTGCCTCAAACCTCACCTATTGAGACAGTCCCTTGGAATGAGAGGAGTTCTCATTCAAGCCATGGACTTATCTTTGGAGTCTGCCTGTAAGTGGGCCAGTTAGAACCAATCGTGGTGTTGGTTTTCACAATACCTGTCCATTGAGAACTGGAGTGAGAAGCCTGCCTTTCTTTCCCCCACAATCACGTCTTTTCCCACTCCATGAGGCCTGGTGTGGCTGTTGCTGCATTCGTATCTGGTTCTGTGACCTTCAGAGACCTTTAATTGGCCAGAGGAGACATGAGGTGCCAGGCAGCACTCCCAGACTGGGCAGCAAGATACCACGATGGGAAATTAAACCAGAATCTCATGCATGATGGCCATACAGAACACAGCCACCAATGGCAGTGAGTGCCAATGTTGTACTGACACCCGCCCATGAAGTTTTTCTGCGGCTGTGTCACTTCTGTGCAATATGTGCTTCAGTGTGTGGGGTGCGGATGACACCAGCCGCCACTTCCTCCACGCTGCTAGTGAGTGACTAACGGAAGAGGCTGTTCCTGGAAATGAACACCTCTGGCGGGCACATAGAATTAGAAGAAAGATACATTTATTTTTACTGTTGATTTCATTTGTATATTTCACTAATTCAGTGCTCCAGGTGCCTTCCTAGGTGATCCCAGTATCATGCTCTTTGCAAGCTGGTAGGAACACAGATGTTAATACAATGGCTCCAACCACAGCTGAGTCGGAGATCCGATTGAAATGACACAGTACAAATGCACAACCCTGTATTTCACCTATTTCCCCTGCTGTGATCATGACTTTGCCTCCTCCCTGGCTCGTCTCCTCAATGAGCAATGGTTCCTTTATCTCAAAAGCCTCAGTCACGACATACAGCTTCATCCTATGGGATCCTGAGAACCTCTTTATGAACTTGTGCGACGTGTCAATTTTCCTGCAGAGGACACAGAGTAACAATGAGAACATCATCTGCTGTTACTACAAAGGGTCTTAGCCCTTGTGCTTCAGGGCATCTGCCAAATACTGACTGCATCTGGTTAGGAAAAAAACAATTATGAGCAAGTTGTTCCTAGTGTAGCAGGAGGAAATCTTTACACCTTAATGCTCTATTTTAGAAACATACATGGGCCTAGGCACTCAGACACTATGGTGACGAACAATAACGAATGTATTTACCCTGATGAAATCCCTGTGAGGCAGAGAAGTGCTATTATCCCCATTTTACAGATGGGGAACTGAAGCACAGAGAGGCTAAATGAGTTGACCAAGGTCACACAGGATGCCTTTGGTAAAGCAGTAAATTGAGCCCAGGCCTCTGCAGTTTTAGTGCACAGTTTAACCACAAGGCCTTCCTTCCTACCTGCACAGCCCTGCAGGATTCCCAGGGCCACAGGGACTGGGAGTGCTGTGCTCAGTCCTTGTTGGAGAGGAAATGTCATAAGTCACTCCACAGAGAACACTCTGGCCAGGGAGGAATTTGTTTCACCTGCCAGAGGGTTGCTGAGCTCCAGCCAGAGGTTTACCTTCCTCAGCTAGCGGGATGGTTTCTGTGATGCGGGGTATCCAGGGGCTAGGAATGGGATTAAATGCTGTGCACTGTTGTATTCATGTTGGGATATATGGGCCCAGAAGGTTTAAGGTGTTAACATGACCTAGTCACTGTCCAACATTAAACAGTTTTAAACCAGGTTTGGGGTTTGGTAATATAGAGACTTCCGCATGCTTATTACCATGGCAAAAGCAATATTAACTTTTTAGAAACTTTTTATTAAAGACACAGAAAAAAGGAAAAATAGGTAAAGCATTTGAAATGTAAAGTATTAAGGAAGGCTTTCATTTCAACAGTTTCCCTTATTCCCTTTCCCTTTGTCTGGAGAGAATTTTTGGAAGGAAATCCCTCCTACTTTCAGTCTTTTAGATGGTATTCAATAGCCTAATAATGGTCTTGTTTGAGGGGAAAAGAGAAGAAGAGTTTAAATGGGCTGGTGTTGTTGTTGGTGCTGCTGTCAAAGTCCGGTCATGTTTCCTAAAAGAAAGACAAAACACTCACAAGACGGGAGAGAAAACAACAGCAAAGATAGAAAATGCCACTTCTGCCTCTAAGAAGAACAGGAGTACTTGTGGCACCTTAGAGACTAACAAATTTATTAGAGCATAAGCTTTCGTGGACTACAGCCCACTATGCATCCGAAGAAGTGGGTCTCTAAGGTGCCACAAGTACTCCTGTTCTTCTTTTTGCGGATACAGACTAACACGG